AAATAAATTATATAAGTTTTTTTTTTATGTATAAGGCAAATAATTTTGTTATTTTATTTGCTCAATTCATTTTTACTTTTTTGTTGTTTGATTTAAATATGGCAAAAGCTCAATTAGAAAAAAGTATGATTATAAAATTTTTACTCTTGCTTAAAGTAAACTTTACATCAAAGTAAATCTATCGAATCATGCATTTTTATACTTATTCTTATATTATTTTTTTATGGTATTGTAGTAAGTATATGGTTATTTTTAATGCTATTACGATTAAATTATTTTTTAAATTACAACATGAGATACTTACGTATAGTGTTTAAACGGTTCATCTCTACTGATATATCAGCTTTCATTTTATGTTGTTCAATGGGTTTTATGTCTATTTGAGTTTCTTCAGATTTTTGTTCTGATAAAATAATGCTATGTTTAATGTCTGTTACTTCTTTTGCTGTTTCTGTGATAGGTTTTTTGTGTGTGATTTCTGTGGGTAATGATTCCAGCTTTGTTTCTGACGTTACTGCTGCTGCGATATCAATAAATGAAACGTGAACTTTTGTTTCTTTTACTGATTGATCTTTTATACTTAATAGTTCTTCATCTAAAATCGTTTCTGATACAAATACCCCTTCAGCCTTTTCAAGTTGTAAGTTTGCATGTTTGACAGTTATTTGCTCTTCTGAATTTATTGGTTTTTCTTTTTCAAGGGGCGTTACTGCACTACTTTCGATACTTTCAACAACAATAATTTTTGATATAGCGTCACTTGTTTGTGGTAAGGTAGTGCCTAAAAATTCACTAGTATTTACGCATTCCAGTGCTTCTTTCACTTGTGGTACCAATCGTCCTTCTATTATAATATTTGCAAGGTTCTCTCTTGTATCTTCTTTGTGCATACTTATTTCTTTTTCAGTTGGTGTTGTTTCTAAAATTGTCATTACTTGAAGATTTTCTTGAACAAGCTTACCTACTTGTTTACCTGGTGATTTACTTTGTAAAATGTTTTCTACGTTTTCTAATGCCATGGTTTCTGTTTTTTCCGGTACCTTCTTTATTTCCTCTTCTATTTGTATCAATAAATTTTTTTTTGTAGGCTGTAAACTGTCTGTCATTGTTGAAACATTTGTTATTTGATAAACTTCTAAAATTCCTACGGCCTCATTTTTTTCTATCTTTGGTACAATTTTTTCGACTCTTGATGAATTCATTTTTTTGAAACAAAATTCTGAGTCATTTGATATCACTTCTGATATATGCAGTGGTATCATCGTATCCATTTTAGAAGTGCCAGTTTCTGAGGCTGGTAATAATGTTGTTTTCATATTTTCGATATTTATTTCAGTATTCGTTTCTGTTACTGTCATTGCTGTCTTTTCAGAAATTAATTTTTGGGCAATTTGTTCTTTTTCGTGTGATGTAAACAATTTTGTTTCTTTTTCATTTGGTAATGTTTGGTAAACTGTTACTGATTTTAATTCTAGTAACTGCTCTTCTCCTTTATGCTCATGTGACTTGGAAACGTATTCGATTTCTTTTACGTCATCGTTTGTTATTATTTCAGTTACTTCTGTAGGTTCGTTGTATCTAAATGATGTTACGACCTTTTGTTGCAATGGTAAGCGGCTAGGAGTAATTTCTTCTCCACTTTCACGTAACTCAGTTTCTGAAACTATTAACGGAAATGATTCTTCAAGCTCTGATTCACTGTTATGTTTTACATCAGTTGTAGGTATTATTATTTCTTCGACGTTCATGACACTGATCACTTCTGTTACTTCTGCGCTTTCGTTTCCATGTAAATTTATATAAGCTGACCTTCCTGATGGCATTTTTTTATCTTTGAACTCAATTCCTTCTTCGTTAGCATTTACAAATGTTTGTCTTAATGGAAGCAAGGTACTTAAATTCTCTGTGAGAATTTGATGATCAGGTGGAACTGTTTCGTAGATGATACCAAGACTAGTATCTGTTAATATTTCTGTAGTTTCAGCGATTTTTTGTCCTTTTATGTCGATTGATGCTACTTGTTTTTCTGTTTTTTTGGTAGTGAGTATTACTCCTTCTTTTTCATGAGTGAATGTTTCTATAATCAATATAGGGGATGACTCTTGATAAGAGCTGTCAAGATTTTGGCTCAATAATGATTTGGGTAGAGAAAAATCATCTGCACTATTAGAGGATACAACTTCTATTATTTGAGTAGATTCATGTTCAGGTAATTTTATAATAGCAACTTCTTCTTTTATTTTTTTATTATCTTCCAGATTTTTAGTATCCATAACTGATAATACTTCACAAGATTCAGCAACTTCTTTACTGGAAATATTTATGTTAACTTTTTTTACATTAGGTACTTCTGGAAATTGTACAATTTCACTTTGCTCACTTGGTTGAATTTGGGAGACAATCAAAGATTTCTCAAAATCAACTTTTGCTGTACCTGTAAGTGCGACTGGTACATTTTTACTGGGAAGATCTGTGGTCGCCAAAATAGTTGTCACTTCTGTGGTTTCAAGTGTTTCGTGTTCCTTAAATCTTTCGACAGCAATACTTTTTTCTGGTACTTTTTCTGGAACAGTTTTATTGTCCGCCTCAGTAGGAATTATTTGAGTAACACTTAAATATGGCATTTCATTTATTTGCTCTACTGCTTTTTGTGATTCTGGGATAATGTAATCTTTCAATTGGTCAACTGAAAATGAAGTAGTGATTTCTGTTACTTCTGTTGTTTCTACTTCTTTTATTTGTGAATCTGCAGTCAATAACATGGGAATTTTTTTTTTCGTTAATAGGCTTTCCAGTTCATTGCACATGATTTCAGAAACAGTTACTGTGCTTAAGGAGTCTAGACATGTTTTACTTTTTTGCTTCTCAAAATTTTTTTGTTCTAATGGTAATAAATTATTTAATGGTATCGTTTCAGTAACCTCTAATAATTCATAACTGTTGACATCAGAGGTTGCAAAATTTTCTGCAGGTCTCATTTCGTCGGGTATAGATATTTCTGATTCATTTATAGTACACTGATTAGTTAGTGCTGTTGAAAAGGCTTCTATTTTTTCTTTGCACGTTATTTCATCAGGTACTTCAGATTTTTTTAGCTCTTGCGTTAAACCAAGAACTAACACCTTAGATATTTCAGCGATGTCTCTACTACCGATGTTTAAATCAGCTTTTTTAATACTTGGCATAGCTAAAGCTGGTAGATCATCAAGAGTTTCATTTGTTAAGGTTTGACAAATAACTAAAGATGATACAGTTTCTAATTTTTCATTTCCTGTTCTTTCTATATTTTCTACATCTTGTTTAAGCTTTTCTATATCTCTCGCAAAAGTTACTTCTAAAGTTTGAATTGCAGTATTCTCAACTAATTTTGATTCCGTTCTCACTACTTGTGGTACATCAGAGACTGGAGTATTTTCCTCAGCATCGTGAGAAATTATTTGCGTTGTTACAGCAGATTTTAAGGTTTCGATATTTGTTTTTCCAATTTGTGCCTGCGGAATCGCAGTCTCAAAAATTTTCTCAACATCTATGTTTGTTGACACTTCTAAAGTTTCCGCTGTTTCTGTACTGACAATATTAGTCTTCGTTTTTTGAGAACAAGGCATGTTTTCATTTATTAAAATCTGTTCACTTTCATTAAGTGTAGTCTCATTTATAATTAAAGACTTTTGGGTGTCCAGTATTTCTTTTCCAGTGTATTCTTGATAAACGTATTTTTTGTCGAAATCGTTTGTTACTACCAACGGTAATACTTCCATAGTTTCGGCAACTTCTCTACCAAGTAAAGTTGTGTTAGCTTTTTGATGTGTAGGGATATCTGAGCCTTGTAAGGGATTTCCTTGTTCTATAGATACTGCTTGAGTTATTTGAAGAGGTAAATTTATTTCAATTTTAACTGCCCCTTTGTCAGATAAAGGGGTTTTTGTTTCTGGTAAATTACCTAGTGAAGAAATTGCTGATATCTCTGATGATTCTGCTATATCTTGACCCATCACATTTAACTGTGCACACTTTTCAAAAGGTTTTTCCTCTTTTAATTTGCTACCACTTTCTTCTACTATTGTTTCA